ATGCACGCAAGGGAGGCTCCCACGGAACCCTACCGATCCACAGTAGCGTATTATTCTGTGGAAAAGGTACTACGGAGTAGCTCGCAATCCAGATCTACCAACCGATAATTGCGTGACCTTATCATGGCAGGCACGTCCACATACACCCAAGTCCCAAAGCACGCGAACGAAGCTTCCTATCCTACTGAACAATTTGGTTGCATGTCGTCGTTTCACCCTAGTAACGTAACGTACCCCGTGTAATAACCTACTACTAGCTGATGACTACATAGAAAACGATTTTCTAGGTGGAAGAAAATAGGAGTAGTAGTATGTATATCCAGATCTCCAGTCGGCGAATAAAATACTTGCGCTCCACGCCCACTCGCACATCTCCATGTGAGGCGCGCACACAGAGGAAAAATCGGAGTGACGAGGCGACTAGGCGAGGCAGGCTCTGAAAAAAGCGCGTCTGACCTGCTCTGCCTGCCGGGCTACCGGTCTCGCCGCCGCACCGACCAAACCGTCCTGCACCTCCGCTCCACAAACGTCAAACCCGGAACGCAAAATCCACAGGGAAACCCGAGGGAACCCACGGGAACTCGCGCAAGCTGCCAGTCGGCTCGGCGGCGGTAGGAGTCGGCCCGTCGGCGCACCGCAACCCGTACCGTACCCAAAACACGCATGGCCTGCTCTCGTCTTGGCTCGGCAGAATCGCGGTGGCCAGAGCCAGACAGATAGGTGGGGGCATCCGTCCCCACATGGTGGGCCACGGAACGTAGCCCCACAGCCCCGCTGCCATCAATCAAAAGAAGGGCAAAAAAAAAAAAAAAAAAGAAAAGAAAACTCTGTAGCGCGCTGGACCGGAGCCGCAGGAGCAGTCACGGACGGAATCACGGAATCCCACGGCGAGGCGAACCCGACCAGAGCCTGCCTCCCTGACCCTGTCCTCTGCCACCAGGCCAGGCCAGCAGCCTGTTCGGCCGTATCGTATCGTGAATTATTTACTGTAGATTGATTTGGTATAAAGAAAAATATTATTTTTAGTTAAAAATTTATGATCATTTACGAGTAAGCGAACAGGCTTCAGGGCGCTCGCATCCATCGCATCGCTCGCACGGCACGAGGTCGGTCGATAGAGAGAGAGCGCGGAGGCGGAGCGGGCCTCGGGTCTCGGGCCTCCTGGGGCTCGCTCGTCTCGTCTGTTTTTTAACGCCACCTCGCGACGCAACCCCAACCCCCACCGCTGCGGTGCGGCAGCATCACCATTCACCACACCACCACACCATCAGGAATCGGACGCCACACCACCACAACTCTCCACCCCCACCCTCGCCGCGAGTTGCTCAGTCGCAGCGAGCGAGGCGGGGGCCACAGCGCGGGGCGAGGCGAGCGTCCCGGCTGGGCAGCGTCGCGGGCTCGATCCAGGTTCCAGGGCGGGGTGGGGCGCGAGGGGGAGGAGGGCCAGGGATCTCCACTCTCTCGTCCGTGCGGGGGCGCGGGTGGCGCGCCGGGGCAAATGCGGGTAGCCTCACGGGCGGAGGAGCGCTGACGCGGCGGCGGCGGAGCGATGCAGGCGCCGGAGCAGCAGCAGCAGCGGAGGAAGGTGAGGGGCAGGGCTCTCGTCTCGTCGTCGGTGGGAGTTTGGTTTCTTTCTCGTGGGGGTGGTTGGGGTACGGGTGGACGCGCGGTCGTCTGGGTGGGTTGTTGGCGTTTCAGATCGGTTGGCCTGCCGGGTTGGACCTTGCAACGCGACGGCAGCTCTGAAATCGTCACGTATTATATTATGTGATGATGGTGAAATAAAAAGGAGCGTCCTTTGCCTGAAAATTTCCTGGTCCTGTGGATGCGCACGATACTCGTGCCGTTTTTCCTTCTCCTCAATTGTTTCTCGTCTTCGTTGCGGAAGGACGATCGCGTAGAGCTACTTGGATTTCAGTTGTGGAGTCGCCACAGTTCAGGTTCGTGCGTTTGCCAAAGAAGAAAAAATTTTCGTCTCATCGTTATCCTGGATCGGAAGTTTTCTGAATTGCCAAGAGAAGTTTTCTGAATTACCAAGAGGTTCTCTGTTGGATTTGACAGTGGACGCTTTCTTGATAATATCTAAACTCTCTTCCGGTGTTACGCTTTCTTGTCTAATATCTGAACTCTCTTCCGGCGTTGGGCGACGTCCTCTTTTCTACCCTGAAAGGAAACGGCATCCTTCGCGACTTTTCCAACTGCGTCGAATACAAATTGCTCCTTAAAGGACTGGTTAGGCCTTTTCCCCCACACAGCTAATCCGTGATTGCACGCCAGAAAAAGCTGATTCAGTTGGGTCATTGAGGTATCGCAAATGAGGAATTAGATTCGCTGAGTAGTTTGTGTTTATCCTAATCCATTCTGTGGCCTCTGTCGATCTTCTTTTCCTTTGAAGAAAGAAATAAAATTAATTTGTTCTAGTGGATTAGCTTATCAATATATTCTATGCCCACTCAGGAGGCATGTTGTTGTATGCCTAAGAACTCTCCCTTAAAGAGTCTTGCTTCGACTTCTGCGAGTCTTATTTTGTCTTTCACGCTTGATCAGCCCTGCTCTGCTCATTGCTGGAGGCCAAGGAAAGGTTTGCGCTGGAGGGTAGGTGTAGTGTAACGGAAACTGCTCATTGCTGGAGGCAAAGGAAGGTTTACGCTGGAGGGTAGGTGTAGTGTAACATAAATTATCAGTGCCCAGTTCCTGGTTGTGCCATAATATTTGTGAGTTAGTTGAACACAGATATGAGTCTGCTCTTTCAGTGGTCATTTGGGTAGGAATTTGGAAGAAAGCTTGGGTGCCAAGCTTCACATAATCTGGTTTTCTCGTTCACTGTTCTTGTATTTATACTTTTGTAAATCTGGTATTCTCTTGAAAGTTGTTTCTTGCAATTACTAAGGACAGCATGTATTATCTACCCTAGGATCATCCAAGGAGCAATCCAAATTTTCTCTAGTGTTATTCCTTCTGTCCACACCGTCGAAATCTTGGGATCTGACATTGGGTTTAGTTCTTCAAGCAGATTCTACATTTCTACTCAGTTGAATGGGTCCTTCTAATTTAATCACTATATGTTTTTGTTTATTAGTAGTGCTTTGCCGAACAGAGTTAACTCAGTATGTTAAACTTTGCTCAGGGCTCGTCAGAGATGGACTTCTTCAGTGAATACGGTGATGCTAACAGATACAAAATCCAAGAGGTCATTGGCAAAGGAAGTTATGGTGTTGTTTGCTCAGCTATTGACCAACATACCGGTGACAAGGTGGCAATCAAGAAAATACACAATATCTTCGAGCACTTATCTGATGCCGCCCGGATCCTTCGTGAGATCAAACTACTTCGGCTATTACGCCATCCTGATATAGTTGAGATCAAGCATATAATGCTGCCTCCATCAAGGAGGGACTTCAAAGATATCTATGTTGTATTTGAGCTGATGGATACAGACCTCCACCAGGTCATCAAGGCAAATGATGATTTAACCAGAGAGCATCATCAGTTCTTTCTCTATCAGATGCTCCGTGCACTGAAATACATTCATACTGGTATGTTTTTTCTTTTAGAAATTGATGCCTTAGTTAGAGAACAGTTTTTTATCTTTATGATTGTCATACCTCATACTACAATTTACGTGTCTTGGAATCATTTCTCTTGAAAAATAGTGGGTCAAGTACTATTTGCGTGGAGGATCAGAGTAGCATGTTCACACATTAGCATTAATCTATTAACTAAAGCTGTTATTGTTGATTGTTTCTGTTCTTCCTATTTAGTGTCCCTTTCATTATAAATATATTTGGACACTCATCTCATACTTAGACTCGTATCCATTCACTATACCTTCAAAGCTATCGTAATTACTTGGTGCCATCCATTTTTTAGTGGTTGAGCCATTAAGAACATTGGTTTCTATCTGCTTCATCATTAGCTATATCTTCCAGAAAAAACCAGAACTGATACATGTGTTTTATGTGATTGCAGCTAATGTTTATCATCGTGATTTGAAGCCTAAGAATATATTGGCCAATGCTAACTGTAAACTTAAAATATGTGATTTTGGATTGGCAAGAGTGGCATTCAATGACACTCCTACAACAGTATTCTGGACGGTATGTAAGATACTGCCTCACAGATTTACCGTAGCACTTCATTTAACAGGTTATATTCATACTCTGTTTCACCACTTAATTATAACAATCTGTTTTGCAAAATTTTCAGGATTATGTTGCTACAAGATGGTATAGGGCCCCTGAACTGTGTGGATCTTTCTTTTCTAAGGTAAACAATCCTCACATTCCAGTATAGGTCACTGAGCAGTCCCTTTCTTTCAGAGCATTCATTATGACAGCACTGAGCAAGATGTACTTTGTTTCGTACCATATTGTGCTGTTCCGCACCTCATGCCTTTAACACCCAGTGTTCCATAGCTGACTGTTATTTTTGTGTTTCACCTCATCTGATTCCCATTTTGCTAATTACAAGGCGGCACACTAAAGGATTATTCGTTCTAAATTGTTTGTTCAAAAGCTGCATTTTTCTTCAGAACTTAATATTTCTAGATGGGCTTGCTACCTTTTAGTAGGTATTGCCTTCAGAGAAAATCACAGATTAACTGTTGCAGTGTTTAGTTAGGTGCGGGAATTATCATTTACACTCATTTACACTTTTACAGTAGCCTGCAGTTCTCCTTAGGGACTAATGTTATTTTCAGCTTTATCCTATCCTTTTTCTTTCTTTTTGTGCTGTTGAATTCAGGATTCTCATTTCATTGTTCTATGCAGTATTCACCAGCTATTGACATATGGAGTATCGGTTGCATTTTTGCGGAGATCTTAACTGGGAAGCCTTTGTTTCCTGGAAAAAATGTGGTCCACCAGTTGGATTTGATGACTGATCTCTTGGGTACTCCATCACTTGATACAGTTTCCAGAGTATGTCTTCTCATTCATGCCTCAATGTTCCAAACTAAACTGTTCACAAAATGGCAAGCATTGATCCTTTGGCTACTGTAGATTCGGAATGAGAAGGCCAGGAGGTACTTGAGTAGCATGAGGAAAAAACAGCCAGTACCATTTTCTGAAAGGTTCCCTAAAGCAGATCCTGCTGCACTCAAACTTTTGCAGAGGCTTTTGGCATTTGATCCCAAGGATAGGCCAACTGCTGAAGAGGCAAGTGTTTGAAATGTAGAATCCAATTCCACATAACTTGTATTTGCTTAGTGCCCCAGCCATTATTATATCTTAAAATTCACTCAAATGATGTTCCTTTTGCCATTGACGTACAACCAGGCATTGGCTGATCCATATTTTAAAGGCCTCGCAAAAGTAGAGAGAGAACCATCATGCCAGCCAATAACAAAAATGGAGTTCGAGTTTGAGCGAAGAAAGGTGACCAAAGAGGATGTCAAGGAACTTATATTCAGGGAGATATTGGAGTATCATCCTCAACTTCTCAAGGATTACATGAATGGAACTGAGAAAACAAACTTTTTATATCCTAGGTATTTATTTGCCAGTAACAAAAATGGAGTTTGAATCTTTCATTTATTTATGCGTATTGCCACCTGCTACATGCCAATGTGTTAACTGTTCCTAATTGTTATTGTGCAGTGCTGTTGACAATTTCCGAAGGCAATTTGCTAACTTGGAGGAAAATGGAGGAAAGAGTGGGGCACACACCGCTTCATCAGACAGGAAGCATGTTTCGCTCCCAAGGTGACAGATTTTTATGAGTTCTCATTCTATGATTTAGGCTGCTATGTTCTGCTTTTTGTAAAAACCTTTTTTTCTGCCTGAATAAATTTTAAATTGGATTCCACAGTTTCCTAGTTTTTTGGTAGTAAAATGAATTATCTACATTTGCATATTTAAAAGAACTGATGTTCGATGACCTTGTGATACTGTGAAATCAGAGGCTAGCAACTTCACTCTTGTTGGATTATTATTGGCATATACTACTAATTAGAATTTAAATTGGCTTCTGACCTTTACTCCCTTCTATTTGCAGGACAACCACAGTTCATTCTAATCCAATCCCTCCAAATGGAACCTCCCAAGTTCCTCAAAAGATTCCCACAGGTGGTAATTTCTCCTAATAAAATATTATGTTCTTCAGACACCACTAATCTAATATAATGTTATTTTCTGAAAAAAATTCAGCTAGACCAGGAAGAGTGGTTGGTCCAGTAATACCGTTTGAGAACGCAACTGCTGTTGATCCATACAGCCAACGTAGGGTGGCCAGGAATCCAGTACTTCCTCCAACCACCTCGAACCTGTCAGCATACGCCTATCACCGGAAGTCAGACAACTCAGACAGAGAGCTCCAACAGGAGCTGGAAAAGGACCGCATGCAGTACCAGCCAGCACAGCGGTTCATGGACGCCAAGGTAGTATCACAGATGTCCCCTGACTTGAGGTCTTCCTACTACATACCAAAAGGTGTCCCAAAAGCTGATGGTACAGATAGAGCTGCTTTGCACTCTAGCATGATTCATGGAATCGCCCCTTTTAGTGGCATTGCTGCTGTAGGAGGTGGAGGTGGCTACAACAAGGTCAATGCAGTTCAATATGGAGTTTCTAGGATGTACTAGTTCTAGTTGCATTGGCCATCTCCAAAATCCCCAGCAGAGTTGAAGTAATAACATGGCGAAGGGTGAAAAGATGTAGGTACCAAAGAACTGCCATATTGGCTCTGAGCCAAAGATACAAAGCATGGAGTATGGATCTCGGATCTCGGATCAAGGAGGACGTGTGACATCAGATTGAAAAACAAATATTGGGCAACAGTCATGGTTCTGTCCATTGGACCTAGCTTTTCGGAAAGCAATGCCATCACCCCGCGGAAACGGTAAAATAAAAGGAGAAAAAAAGGGCAGTGCCGTCAGTTGATTGCTGCTTATAAAAAAGCAAAGGGGGCAGAGACGATTATTACAGGGAAAATTATGTACTTTGCAAGGAAGGAGACATGTGGGAATAAAAATAGTGAGCCTACGTTTAGCTCTGTATATAAAGTGACTTGATTTTATGTTTTATTACGGCTGGTGAAATCCGCTTCTTTAATTCAAAGCTGTGGAATTTTTGGCTCTGTAATACCATAGGCAGTTCAGATTGATACAGCCGTTGGTTTATTTTGTCCTCTTTATCTCTTTTGTTTGTATTACTTTTAAATTAGAAATGAAATTTAGCTTGGACGTAAGCCGCCATCCTCCCTTTCCCTTTATCCAGTTCCATGTTCCGATGTGACCGTCCACAATATGTCATAGGCCATGTTTAGTTGCCCCAAATTCTAGAATTTAGCACTATGCAAAAAGAAGATTACTCGTCACATCAAACTTGCGGTACATGCATGAAGTACTAAATGTTGACGAAATAAAAAACTAATTGCACAGTTTGGTTGTACTTTGCGAGACGAACGTTTTGAGTCTAATTAGTCAACGATGGGACAATTATTACCAAATAAAAACAAAATGCTACAGTGCGCAACAGTGCATCTACAGTACCTAGGATTCCGGCGGTGCCGAATCCGGGGCCGAACTAAACGCAGCCCTAGAGTAAATATTTCTGCACTCGAGGCGAACTATAGGCGCCTAAAAAAATGTAAAATCCACACCGCCAGCACCAGCGGTGTGAATGTGTGTGATCTAGCCATTTGTGATCGGTGTCTCGGTGAGCCTGAGACTGAGATGTCAATGGGGAATTTGTTGACTCCGATTCGACGAGGCGGCTATCGCAGCGGAGGTCCTAACGGCGAGGCAAACGCCTTTCGGGGGAAGATCCATCAAATCTCGTCGGGGTACATGTAGAACAGCAAAGAGGTTGGAAGAGATAGGGATATAGAAAATAAAAAGTAAAGGTAAATTGATTTTGATTGATTGTATAGTTGGATACCTCAATCGGTCGTGTATCCTATATTTTATATGGAGTAGGGGTGGTCTTACCCTGTTACAAAACCAACGTGGTACTATTTTCACATTGTTTCGTAGAGTTTTTCTTGAATTGGGCCAAAACTAACATGGGCCGATTCTAAAACCAGCTTGGGCCCAATTTGAATGTCAATGGAATTCATCATCGGGGATTAGATTCTCATCTCCGTCTTCATAGGGGAGAAGTTTCTTTATCTCCGTACATGGCAATGTAATCGCGGATAATTTCTTTCACATCCCTATCCCCGCTGGGGAATTCATTCTCACGGGGATTCTTCATCCCCGTGCTTAAGGTTATCAATAAACATTCATATGTCTAGTACACTATATCTCCTACAACTAAAAAGAATAAAGTGTGGATATTTTTTGGCGTGACATTTGTTTTGATTCGTCCGTCTGCCCACGCCTGCGATCCCACGACATCTCCTGCATGCTGCGTCCTTTGGTGCGATTCTCCTTGATTGAATATTGCCTGTCGTGTGATAGAGGAATTACGGCAAAATAGGGAGTAGAAAATTATTGTGCTATCCATATACACATTGCATGTTTGCATGCACCAGCTGAAAGCTCTAGTTTGGTTTTGGTGAATTGATGAAACCCTAAGTACTAACCTAGTTTATCAAATGATCATGATATAGGTAGCACACTCTAAGTGGTGAAGCAAATAAAGATCATAACATAATAATAGTGATGCCATGGTAATGATCAAGTGCTCGGACTTGGAAAGAAGAAAGAGAATAACAAAAGGATTAAGGCAAAGGTATAATTTGTAGAAGCTATTTTGTTTTAGTGATCAAGACACTTAGTGAGTGTGATCACATCTAGAATCGATAGCCGTACTATTAAGAGGGGTGAAACTCGTATTGTAATGTGGTTATCAAAGTGTTACTAGATGCTCTAACTCATTGCATATGCATTTAGGATCTAGTGGAGTGCTAACACCCTTGAAAATGTTTGTGAAAATATGTTAACACATGTGCACAAGGTGATACACTTGGTGGTTGGCACATTTGATCAAGGGTGGTGAAGTTTAGGTGCAAGAGTAAGAAACTCCACCGGCAGAGTGTCCGCCCGTAGAGTGCGGACAGTCCGACGGTGTCACCGGCGCCCTAGACAGAAAAGACGGAGGTCATTGGGTGTGACCGGACGCTGGCCTCGGTTGGACCGGCTCGTCCGGTCAGGTGTAACAGCGAAGACGTTGGCGTCGGTCAAACGACCGGACGCTGGGTCGCTCTACGACCGGACGCTGGCAGGGTGCATCCGGTCAGTGCTGATGTACGCTGACGTGAGACGCACAGAGGAGACGTTGAGGGACCGGACGCTGGGTGAGTCCGGTCGTGAAAATTTGTGTTTGGAACCTTACTGGAAACGACCGAACACTGGTGGCTCAGAGTCCGGTCAGTTTGTGCGCAGTGTTCGGTCAACAAGATGACCGTTGAAATATGACGAACTGTATTTGAACTGGGGACACGTGGCATGCATCACGTGACCGGACGCTGAGGGCCAACGTCCGGTCGATTAGACCGGAGCGTCCGGTCACCCAGTGCTGTACCCAGTGAAGGGGTACAACGACTCTATTTCGTGGGGGCTTCTATTTAAGCCCCATGGCCAGCTCAAGCTCACTCTCTTGGTCATTTTGCATTGACATAGCAACCTTGTGAGCTTAGCCAAAGCCCTCCCACTCATCTCCATCATTGATTCATCATCTTTGTGAGATTGTGAGAGAATCCAAATGCATTGCTTGAGTGTTTGCATCTAGAGGCACTTGGTGTTCGTGTTTCGCTGCGGGTTTCGCTTGTTACTCTTGGTGGTTGCCGCCACCTAGACGGCTTGGAGCAGCGAGGATCGTCGAGTGGAGGGTGGTGATTGTCTCCGGCTCCGATCGTGGTGATTGTGAGGGGTTCTTGATCTTTCTCCGGCGGAGCGCCAAAAGGTACTCTAGTGAATTGCTCGTGGCTTGTGTGATCCTCATCTTATGTTGGTTGTGCGGCACCCTATTGAGGGTTTGGCGTGTGAAGCCAATTAGCGCGTGAACCTCCAAGTGAGTGAATCGCCACAACGAGGACTAGCTTGCCGGTAAGCAAGTGAACATCGGTAAAAAGTTATTGTGTTCATCATTGATTCTGAGGTGATCAATCTTCATTGTTATTCATCCTTGTGATTGATTGGTTTCTTCATCTACACGCGGTATAACTTTCTTGATCACTCTCTTTACATTACCGCAAACTAGTTGTCAAGCTCTTTGGTGTAGTTAGTTGTGAGAGCTTGCTTGCTTGATTAGTGTGGCTCTTTAGTTAGCATTTGAGAGCACACTAACATAGAGTAGTGTCATAGTTATTGTGTGGATATACTTCATCTAAACTAGAATTGTGGTAGGTGACTTGCATTTTGATAGGCTAGCGCAAAACTCGCTTCGCCTCATAATTGTCTAATCCTTTTTGTTAAGTGTTGTTGTAAAAATTTTATTAGGCTATTCACCCCCCTCTAGCCATTAGGACCTTTCACCAGCATACATGGCAACGAGCAAAAGGAAAGAGAATTAACACAGAAGGAAAGATAATTAAGACAAAGGGAATCTCTTTGCATTTCTAAGAACCTTGTCAAATCTACCTACATTTAATTACTTCCCCTATTTGTATTTGCAAAAGGGACAGCTTTTTTCTTCTTTCATTTAGTTTCACACTCACGTGTTCCATCGCTCTTGCTTACTGTTTCTTGCTGAAATTGCCATTGGGTCTGTTCATTTTGAATCCTTTCCCCCATATTCTAATTAAACTACAAAATTTTGAATTAGGATACGAGGTAAGACATGCAAACAGATATTTCAAAACTACCTGTAGAGTCCAAAGAACTTAATAAATAAATCCTTCTGGTGGCAATGTAAATTCTCTCTAATCTTTCATTTGGTGTAGTTAGTGTTATCATAGTACCCGCATGTATTCATGGAAATAAATCGTGGACAAAACGTGGACACTTTTTGGTGCGACATTCCAACATGGGTCCATCGTCCTGCCAATATCCTTGAGACAGATCACATAAATGATGAGAGTCCCTCTATGAGATTGCTCACAAGAGACTCAAACTTATATCTGATCATGATAATGTTGAATTGCTTTGCATCAAAAGCATCAGCAATGATAAACGGGGACGTATGTTTTAGTATACATAGTGGAGGAAAACTCAACCTTGGCCTTCTCAGCAGCTTTTCTGAGCCTTTGCAGTGCTAACTTGTCCTTACTCAGATAGTCAAGAGGTGCACCATAAAATTATGCACCACTAATAAAAGTGTCACCATTGGTTGCCTTGACCTGAAAAATATGTCGAAATTAAGAATTACAACACCTAATTCAACATCTTGGAACAGACACTCAAGTGGATACCTTATTCTACAATATATGTCTGTGTGGAATAGTCCTAAAGCCACATATATTTATACGGTGAGTATAACATACTTTGTTTTAAAATTTTATGAGAGATTTTTTAAGACACGCAGTATTATCCATGTGATAGGCACTAATATTTACATATATACTCGAACCTGTGTGTACAAGATTATATGGAGATACAGCGGAACTTATTCATGGATTTATTGGCGCAGGAAAGAAATGGATATCGGAGAATTCTTTCCGTTGATATAAAATATTATCTTAGCCATATAACGAAAAAGT